CTAAGAAGGGCCATTTATTCTTCCTGCATCTAAGAGCTAGCCACCCATATGCTCACACCCTTACCAGCCACATGGAGTTCTCTGAGTTTCATCTCAAGATGTGTTGTCTTTTTAATCATTTGGGGGAGGGTGCATGTGTGAGGGGGGGCTACGGTAGACCAGAAGCTCACATCTTTGCATCTCGGGTCACAGGTGACTGAGTCTCCTCACGTGGGTGATAGGACTCAAACCCGGGACCTCTGTAAAAGTAGCAAGTACTCTTAATGGCAGAGCTATTTCCCCACCTCGTAACTGGGGGCGGTGGTAGAGGACCCCCAGTGTGTGGGGGTTTGGTACTTCTTATGCTCTTGAGTTTGTCAGAATGGGAGAGTGGAGCACAGTTTATTAGCCAGTTCATAGCGGCGCGGAAATCATTGGTGTTTATCCACCCAGTGTGCGACTCTCTGCTGGGACTTCGGCTGATGCCGTTTCCCACATAATGTACTTATTAAATAAGTTAATGTTGTCAGTGTCAGGGAAAGTCCACGCTTAAATTGAAGCTGCTTTGATAATTTTCTGGGGGAAACATGACATATAATAATGCAGAAAGCACATTTATTCACATCGAAACCTGCTGGCATGTTTTGAGAGATTTTCCCCAGTACATTAGTTTCTCTTTAAACTCCACATTTAAGTTACATTAAGAAGTAGAAATTAAGCCATAAAGATAACACTTATGGAGGCTTGAAATTGCTTTCTGTTTTTTGTTTCTGTTCACAATGCCATTCCCTGTCCCTTCACTTAACGAAAGGAAGGAAAGAAAAACTGAAAAATCCCCTTCTGTGTCACATTTAACTTAATGCATCTTTTCAGGTTTAATTTACACTGGTACGAATCCACTCAGAAGCAATGCATCACAGATAACAATGGATGAAAACACTATCATCTGGTGGTTTCTGTTCTAAATGTCTGTAATATGTATGGAATGTTAATGTATACAAGGCATACATGCATGTATGAATGTGTACATGAGTGTGAGTGTACATGTATGCGCATGTGTGTGTGTGTGTGTGCACATAAATATGTGTTTGTTTATGATGCTTGGTCTTGGGAAATAACCAGATGCAGGGTCCCTGTGGTCTCTTTTACCTCCACACAGATCGTCTGGTGTATAACAAGGAGACTATGTTCAAGAGACTTTTCATTCACTAAAAGGCAATGATGTCATTCTGTGACGCTCCTGCCTTTGGGTCTATGCTGCTTGCATTTGACATCTGGAGACACAAGTGGAGACAACGGCATAGGCCCTGCCTACAGGGGGTTTACTAGTCACCGAATAGGTTTGGGACAACAAATCCTGGTAGTTATTTTTGTCAGTGCCTAGTGTTTCATATCCAGATGGTAACTAGATACCAGGCTGGTAGCCAGTGGGAGAAGCTGTGTTGTGAGCAATTTGGGGGAAAAATCTGCTATTAGGGAGACATGGCAAGAGCTCCCGATCAAACGAGTGTGATAACCCAACTTAGGCTTTAAATGGGCTGTTATTTTGTCAAGCTACTCAATGATGAGCACTGGCAAAATTTGTTTAACACCTCTAAAGGGAATATCATCATTAATAGGTTGGAAATTCATACTATATAAAAGCATGAAAGAAAACCCAGATTGTCCATAATTGTTGAACTCTCACCGAGTTAATTACTAGAGGTGAATATATCTATCACCCTCGCCAAGTTCTGACCTAGCACTGTGTCACTAGAGCTTGGCAGGAAAATCGAACACCTAGAGGTGACCTATCAACCTGAAACCTGACCCCACTTCCGTATCCACACACCGGGAAGTGTGACAGGAGGGTGACTGGGTTGGCTGGTCAGGATGGATACAGTCCATTGCTGAGAGGCCATCACATCTTCACACTTTGAAAAGTGTCCGGGGCTGGACATGTGTTCAATAGTGGAGCATGCCGGGCGTTGGTGGCGCACGCCTTTAACCCCAGCACTCGGGAGGCAGAGGCGGGTGGATCTATGTGAGTTTGAGGCCAGCATGGTCTACAAGAGTGAGTTCCAGGACAGCCTCCAAAACAGTATAGAGAGAAACCCTGTCTTGAACCCCCCCCCAAAAAAAAGAAAAAAAAAAGAAAAAAAGAAGAAGAAGGAGAAGAAAGAAGAATAGTAGAGCACTTGGCTAGCACGTGTGTAAGTAAGCTTAGGTTCAACACTCATGCACTAGGGAGAGAAGAAAGAAGGAGGAAAAGGGTGGAGACGATGGGAAGAAGAAAGGAAACAGGGAGGAAGAGGGACAGGAGGAAGGGGGAGGAGGAGGGGCAGGAGGAAGGGGAGGAGGGACAGGAGGAAGGGGGAGGAGGGACAGGAGGAAAGGGGAGGAGGGACAGGAGGAAGGGGGAGGAGGGGCAGGAGGAAAGGGGAGGAGGGACAGGAGGAAGGGGGAGGAGGGGCAGGAGGAGGAGGGACAGGTGAGCAGGCGAGAGAGAGAGTTGCCCTTCTCAGGAGGTCCCCCATGAGATGGACTATCAGCCTCTTGCCGTCACAATGCAGACTCATGAGACAACCTCCTTCAACCTCCAACAAGAGACTTTCAAAGAAGCACCATCACAAAATTGGTTATAGTCTGCCAGTTGGTTATTTCCTGTCTTTCTGGCACCCACAGGTCCTTGAGTTTGTTTGTGTGTATGCTTTTAACCCTCCACACAGCTCTGTTGACCAGCAGCTCCTTCTTGTTTATGTAAAACTTTCAGCTATGTTAAGGGCCACTGTCTCGTCTTCCAAAGCCCTGGTTGAAGGAGAGCTGAATGGAGATTCCAGCTTTAAGCCATTTGACTTTGGGCAACTTTTCCCATTTGAATTCAAAACCCTGATAAACCCCCATTCCGTTTGTAAAATGGTAAGGAATGGAATGCTTGTATGAAGTGAGGGAAGGGTGGATGCTTTTCTTCATGTAGGGTATGTGACGCCTCCAACCTTCAAACACAATCCAGTGTTTGAGGGTTTTACCCTTTTACCTCTAAATATAGGTCCTGTAATTTTTTTGAAGGTTGCAGTAATGCCCATAATGGTCAGTAATCATTGACTCACCTTTTAAGAGTAATTGATCAAGTCATTTAAATGTCTAATCACCAACCATGATAGATAGATAGATACCTTAAAATATAATAATAAATCATTTAAGGGTCAAAACAAAATTTTAAATCATTGAGATTTTTTAAAAACATTTTGATGTTACATACATATGGCTAGATGCCATCTGTCACCTGTATTAATTGGTAAAAATCTCATCTTCACTATATAGGAAAGCCAGGAATGTGTATATTTAACACATATCTCTAGTAGTAGCAACCAGTCATTTTTTCAAGGACACAATAAGCTATGCTACATTAAAGTTACAGAATATAATATTTTTCTGTTGCTAGACTGGAAATTTGTATCTTTTTCAAATTCACAGATCTGTGTATTTTACTAGGCATGTGTGTAATTTGCTAAGCTGTGTCCCCAGGACACAGTTACACTATAAATAACCTCATAAATAGCTCAAGAGGTGGCAGATAGAAAAAAAATCAACTTTTCAAATCCTAGGAAATAACGTGTAAGTTTTCATCACAATCAGGAGAAATATATCAATTATGGATTTGAAAAAATAACCATAAACTCTGAAGTCTTCAGCTATGGAGCAAATTATTATTTTGCTCTTTATATAACCTAAGACTTAAGGATGAAATCGTTTTCCAGTGGCTGAAGTAAGAATGTTATTATTATCCCAACACATATGAATGTAATGTGGGTGATCCATCCTGATGACCGAAATGTGCTTCAAATGCTGAGACTCCTGCTTCCTCGGAGTGTGTCTTCTGTTACTTCACACGTAACTAAGCTGTATCCCTTGTCACCAGCTTAACTTTCCTGTTTTCACTTGGGTCCTAGGATGGAGAAGTACAGGTGATACATGTGTATCTTCGTGTAACTGTGGTTTACAGCTTGTCCCTTACAGTGGGATCCCACTTAGCAGAATGTGTTGGTTGCTGGAACAGTGCTCTGCTTTGAGATTGTTCTCCCTGGAAGACTACCCTGTGCTCTCTCTGTGACGGCATCCATCCTTTACATTCATTGCAGAAGCACTGGGTTGCAGAGCAAAGACTTTCTGGATCGCAAGACCACTATAAAATAGAACACAGGGACATGTAGAACTCACATGTGTTACAAAAGTTAACAGCTTCCTAATGCAGACTGTTAAACTTCTTAAAGAATGCCACATGAAGTCAAAAGAGTGTTCGCCTCAGTGTTTGATGTTCCTGTTTGTGTGTAAAGATATTTTTGAAGTTAGATACCGAATCCTACGATATCCTTGTGGAAGTGGAATGAAATGTTCATTTAATTCATCAGTTATTTGTTGAATCAGCTTTTGTTATTGATAAGAATCAGTGTGTGTTTCAGAGTTTCTTTTAGAGATGCATCTGTTTTTATCATGAAGTTGATTAAGTAGTAGGAATCCAGTTAACTGTAGGTAGAATGCTCAGATACTGGGATCCTCTCCTTGCTTCCTTGTCAATGGGTTTCCCAGTTTCCTTACTGCTAATTCTCAGGTGTGGGTGCGTGGGGGGGGCAGTTCCAGATGCCCAGTTCAGTAAGTCAAAGATTGAACCAACACACACAAGAGAGTTACTCTGTGTGGGAAGATGGCTTCTTAGTAACATGCGGTGAAGAACTTAAGGGTGAACGGAAGCAGGCTTTGGCCAGATAATACCAAACGCTTGCCTTCCTAGTCATCAGTAAGGCATGAGTGTGATGATAACTTCTGTTCTGTGCCCTCAGCCTACTATTGCCAGGGTCCTGTGGTCTGCCATTGCACTCCCGAGCAGTCACATTGTAGAACTGTGGCAGCTTCTTTGGTTCAGTGTTTTGGGTATAACCAGAAATAGGCATAGGAAGCATGGCCATGGCGCGTCAAACTGTGTGCTTCTAAAGGGTGTTTGCGTTATGACTGACAGTCTCTCTCTGTCTTTTCTTCTGTAGCAGTTCTATGCTGCCCAGCTAGCCGCAATGCAGGTTTCTCCAGGAGGGAAGCTCCTAGGCCTACCCCAAGGCAACCTTGGTGCTGCCGTGTCTCCTACCAGCATTCACACAGACAAGAGCACAAACAGTCCACCACCCAAAAGCAAGGTACCCTCTTTAATAAGCTGGTCTGTCTTCAACTGGGCTTCTGCTGTTCACTCAGGGGTATTTACTAAGGTGCCCTCTTCGATAATCTGGTCTGTCTTCAATTGGGCTTCTACTGTTCATTCAGTGGTATCTATTAAAGGTTTCATAGATTGCTGCCACTGGGCTAAACTCGGGGTATACGTGGAGGTAAGACTTTTAGAAGGAGCAATAGCTGTGTGCGTAAATTTACATTTCTAATAATTGATGTATCTACTCAACGAGCATATCAATAGTTACAATGAAAATCTGAAATGTGCATCTTTGAACCAGTGAGTTTACGGCCTTAAAAATAGACATCTATAATCAATCAGATAGCCATCCTTCATAATACAAAGAATAATCAATAATAAATTCCATGGAGCCATGTATGGATAAAGTATATTAGAATTTATTAGGGGGAGAGAGTGGCTTCAGCAAGAAATGCAAACGTTGCCAAGGGATAAACAACTGAAATAGAGACTTAAGTACCAGTAGAACTGAGACATATGGAGTGTTTCTTAAAAACTATCAATAACTGTTATAATGCAGTATGGTAATGACATAGTTGTAATTTTAGATATGTCACCCATCCACCAAGATTATCATGTAACGACATGAAGATAATAATAGTGTTGGGAGACTATTTAAACACAGTTTCTGTCTTTAGAGCCGTGGAAACATTCCCTAAGAACACGGGGAAAGGCTAGGGGAGTTCAAGACGAATGCTCCCTACACAAGAGCAGAGAGCCTGGTGCGAAGGAAGGTCTTCCTGTGTGCAGACTTCACGCGTGTGCTGCTGTGTGAACATACTACGCCTTTGTGAAGCGAGTGAGGCTAGTCAAAGAGCGGTGTTTCCTGTGACTACTCAGAAAAATAACCGCAAATATTTAACTCTATTAGAAAACGCTATCCAGAAAACTGACACCGCTAACAATTTTTCCATCAGACATCTTTTGTTTTTAGCTATCTAGAAATGCGCTTCTGTCTTCCATCCCACAAAGGAGGTATGAGAATATCTTAGGAGAGTCAGGGTGGAGCTATCACAAAGGATGCGAATGAAGCACATGAGTAAGATTCATATTGAAAGACAGGGAAACACAGAACGTCAGCTCAGTGATTGTACAACTCCCGGTAGGGGAGTCTTCTGGAAATGGGACCACTGGGTCAACTGGTGAAAGACTCCCAGCTTCTTTCCTCCCAGAGTTCCAAGTACCTTTTCTCCATTGCCGAGAGAAGAACACATTTGTTCATGAGCCTGACAGAGGAGCTGTGACTGTGGCTCGGGGAACCCCTTGCACACTGCCAGACCACAGGGCGGGGACACACTCCATTAGCAAATTTGCACCTGCTGTTTGGAGGACCTCTCACACCCTTTGCTTAATGTATAAGGCCTGACCTGCTTCTCTATATCATCTTGGACACGCGTGAGGTGTTAAAGCTCTGAGGCAGTTATAATAGTTATCAAATCTGGTTTCATTCTGAAGTGGTGGCCTTGTCACGGCCCCTGGCGCTAGCAGTTGCAAAGTGTTGTATTTACAGAGACGTCTGATGCAAAACAAAGACGCCGGGGTGGACTCCTTGTTACACACAGACACCTCTGTGAAGGGTGACTCTGTTTCTCCCTCTTGATGTGTTTGCCGCCCTTCATGCTACGATCCACTAGGAGTATTCCCTCACAGGGTTGTAGACTGTTTGATTCTGTTTTATACAATTAGTGGATTTTCCCCTTACTTGTGGGTACATTTTTATCACTAATATCTTCTCAACCATTTCACTTATACAAATCGTGAGGGGTGTTTAATGCCAACCTCTTTTCCCTTTGCCTCTGCCCAGTCCCCCACCATTCATCCATCTGTCCATCCATTAGCGGGCTGTCTGGCGATTGCCACAATGATCCTTTGGTAGATAACAATGGCAAATGCCAAAGCCATTGAAGCCCTCTTTGTTGTGATTGGGAAGGGGCTTAGTGAGCCAAGCGGTTTTATGGACTCGAGAAATCCTATGCATTAGGCACAAAGGAGAACAATTGTATTTTAGCAGTGCTCAAATTCTTCCACATCTTAGTTTTCTATGCCTCTCTTTATTTCACAAAAGTAAAACAGTAGATTGTGTTTCAGTAACCATGATTCACAGAATATAAACATATATTCTATAGTTTGTCTTTGAAGTGTAATTACTTTTTAAGTTGGCCTTCATGAATTTCCTATCACGTAAAGTTTAATGGGTTTGCCTCTTCCCACCCACGCTCAGAGCACATATGTAAAGATTTAAACAAACACAGCATTCTTCTCTTCCAGTAACAGCAACAACTTAGTAAAAATGTGTGTCCCTTGCCCAGTGTCCTCAAGCATGCTGCCTGTCACTACCTTTGTTATCAGAAAGAATTCCAAAATAATGCCTGTGCTAAGTTCACAAGAAAAGAATACGGTGAATTAAGAAGTACATGGCAGCAAGTCACAGCATTTGAATGTAGCTCCCAAACTTATGACCAGCAATAAGTAAACAGGACCCCTTTACTCTCTTGTAGCTCAGAAATGACATTTACACACAGCATGATGAACACTGTGACTCCACAGAGCTAATTTATTCGTGAACATTCGTTTATTCGCATATTTCTGTTTTTAAACAATCAGCTATCGGTGCCTTGGGGGTTATTTTCTGTATGTTTTCGTGTGTTGTTGTTGTTGCCAGTTCCTATGGCTGTCTTACCATCACACAATAATATAAGGTGCTTTGTGTGCATACCTGCTCGGCGTAAATGGAGTAGACGGCTTATGTTCCTAGTACATTTACTCTTTGGAGCAGTGGTGTTGCACGTCAAGTTCAAGGGATGACAGATGGACAGTGCTCTTACTGACAGCTGTCAAAAGTGAAGGGTGTGCTCCGAGTTACGCCAGCCACCCTCCTCCTGGATGGACCATTGCCTCTGACTCCCAACTCCAGAGGACACAAGCAAAACTTATTTGCAATTTGCAAAAAGGGAAAAAAACGTGGAAGGGGGATCAAAAGGAGGGGCTCCAAAAGACTGTAAAATTGTGCAGCGTGAGTCCTCTGATGCATGCTGTTTTCAATCTGCTGTGTGCCAGTTGGAGGCTCGGGGAGTGTGTGCGCGCGAGAGAAAGGGTAATGCTGAGAAATGATAGAGTGCATGCGACCTCCGAGCTCAGCCTGGAAATCCAAGACATTGATTTCACTTAGCATTCCTGCTGAGAGATCTGGCGGAGTTCAGTTGTAATAAAAGAACAAGATTCTGTTCTAATGGTAATGGCGTATGACAGACGTATCACTTTGCCTGTCCTCCGCACCAGAGAGAGCGGGATTGGAGAAAGGTCAGCTGACCTGCCTGGGGTGTTGTACAAGTGCTGTACTGAGCTTTGAACTGCTGCCTAGGAACGTAATTATTTATAATATTAAATGATAAAGAAAGCTTTAGAGGACTCGCAGTGCACGTCTGAAAACTGCATGCAGGAAGTGCATTTCGTATCAGAGGAAATCCTAGATGAAGTCTGGTCTATTCAAAGTGCATTTAAGAGCACTGGCTCTCCTGTCCTTGATGTCACTGCTATGGGCTGTCCTTCATCAATGCCTGAAGTGGCAGCACTGGTTAATGTTGTAAAGTCTTGGCTTAATTAGTACCATGCCGTGTGTGTGTGTGTGTGTGTGTGTTCAGTGGCTCATCTACCAAACACAGTATCATGGAGAATTAAAACCACGGGCAAGTTTCAACATGTCTACATCATGTCAGCCTCTTTACCTAGGTTTTGAACTGTTCAGCTCCCACTTGACAACTGCCTCTTACGTGAACCAACAAAGACAAATACATTTATTTGTCTCTTCACAAGCATTCTTTCAGCTTATCTGCAACTTCATGGTTAATGTTGGTGAATAAGAAGGAATAAAATGATGAAAACTCCAAAATTTGTACAAGAGACTCTGCCTTCTAGTATGAAGGAATGCTTAGCATACTGCTGCATGATACTGCGATTTGAATCTTTCTTCAAATATGCCTGCATGCCTTAACGAATGTTTAAATTTGTTTACAGTCTGGACTCTGCCACCGAGCAGACTGATATAGGAAGTGTTCAGGCATTTCACTTGTTAGTACCACACGGTGTTTATTTAAATCGCTTTCTGTATATCCAGCAGAATCTTTTGAAATCCCAGCTAGCCTCTTCATGGGAGAAGCCTCCTATTAGTTGGGCTAACTGTCTAAACTTCATATTATAAGTGGTTTTTATTTTCATTATAAAAGTAGTCACCTCTTGGGGAAATTTGAGGAGGAGCGACTTGTATTATTAAATGACTCTCTTTATTTGATAGAAACACGTATTTCTCCAGCAGCCACCCGAACCAGTTAGCTTTAAAAGCTGATGACAGCAGAGAGTTCCTGGGTGCTTTTCTTTTAACCTCGCCGTGACCCTCCTCAAGCCCTTCCTACCGTCAAGCCTTTGTTGATGTTGAGAACGCACAGATTGTCCAAATCTATTTTTTTTGTTCTTTTAGAATCCTTCTGGCAGCGATGTCCCCATTTGCTCAGCAGTAGCACCTGGGAGTTATGACAAGGAAAAGAAATGCTTGTCTGACAAAGCCAGAAATGGCCCCAGCCAGCTGACCAGATACAATCAGATCCGTTCAGCTGTAATATCCTTGCAAATATTGCTTCAGTTGCTGAAGCAAGAGTTAGAGTTTTGTGGGTATCTGATCTCACAGAAATGAAGCCATCTTCTCAGACGTGGTGGCCGCGTGCTTGCGTGGGTCATATCCGTGCTGCCAGTGACTCTGATTAGACACCATCTTTTTAATGGTGCCGATGACACACTTTGAGGCTATTCAGTCAGCCCTCCCCATATACTGCCTTTGCCGAAATAGTCCTAAGAGATGAGGGCCTGTGATTGCCATTGAATACCAGCATCAGACAATGCCCAGGGACCACCTTCAGATGGTTGGGCCTGGTACTTGGCGTGTCCCATCTCTCCTCCAAC